CCACCACCACTACCACTTCTTCTGCTACTACTACTACTACTACCACCACTACTACCACTACTACCACTACTACCGCTGCTACTACTACTACTACTACTACCACTACTACCACTACTACCACTACTACCACCACGACTACTACTACTACTACTACTACCACCACCACCACCACCACCACCACTACCACTACCACGACCACGACCACTATCACCACCACTACCACTCCGCTAATTCGACCACTACTGCTACTGGTTTTGAAGCTTCTGCGGCACTTTCTACTGCTGCTAATTAGAGAACTTCCGGTTTCAGATTTCATGATCAAGGAAAAAGCTCATCGCAAAACTGCAACACCATCCAATGCTAATTTCTGTTGCTCCGGGTAGTACAGAGCTCCTCCGCCAGGTGCCGCACGCAGAGGCAGCCCTGTCGGCAAGACTTCAGGTTTAGGGTTTGATGTGGCTTACGAATCCCCAATGATTGAACCCAAAAAACTCGAGCGCCCCAGTTGCAGAACCCTGAACCCTACATCTCCAACTGTACCAGTCCGCGAAACTTACTGCGCTGCTCCCCTCTCACGATTTCTGGATCCCTAAACTGCAAACCCCAAACCCTACACACCCTAAACCCTAAACCAACGATTCTCCCAGCAGGATCTTCGAGGGCAAGCGTTCAGGGTTTCTTTGAAAATGTTCTAGACCGGCGCTGGTGCTATAAAAATTCGATACGACTTGGTGTGGGCTTGTGGGGTTACTTAGAGATACCGGTTGAGGCTTAACCCTGAACCCCAAAACCTAAACTCCGAAGCCTCTGTTTTACACCCAAATCCTCACCCTAAACCCAAAACCCTAAAGGTGTTTAGATCGAATGGTTGTTGTAGCGCCTTCATGGACACGGTGTGGTTCAAGGATGTCACGCACCTTGGTGCGACGACTTTATTGCAGGGCCCTTCGAGAGCTTTTGTAGGGTTTCTATGGGGTGTTATAGGGTGCTGGAGGGTTTTATTCTTTAGGGTTTTTATGGGGTGTTATAGGGCGCTAGAGGGTTTTACAAGGTTCTGTAGGGCTCTGGAAAAGCCCTATCAGAGTCCTTCATGAGTGCTACAAGCTGGCTTAAACCAAGCCTGCCTTTAGAGGCTCGCACCGTCTCATACGTGAGCCCTACATCGTCTCGGGCGCAAGGCTAAGGGTTGAGGGATGTACATCGCCAGGAAAAAAGTTTCGTCGCACTTGCCCATACCCTCATGCGGAAGACGTGGAGTACCGACAAGCGTGTTTTACGTGGCCTGGCTAGTGGAGGAACTAATTCACCGGAATAAAATAGTTACTACAACATGCGGGAGTGTGACAAACTTTCGTCCTACCGCAGTATCATGTAGGCAATAGGGTATAAAGGCTTAGGGCTTGGGATTTAGGAGTACTTACATCTTTCATCGCACTTAGAAGTACAGGCTTGTACTGCCAACGCCCCCCGAGTTATGTCTGAACACATACCTCGTTCAGACCATAAACCCTAAACCCTAAACCCTAAACCCTAAACCCTAAGGGGAACTGTAGGGCTTTCGGGTTTCAGGGATGTTGGGGTTTGGGCTTCGGGGCGTGAAGGCTCTGGGCATGAGGGCTTTAGGGTTTCGGCATGCAGGGCTTTCTTTCCTCCCGGGCTTAGGGCATTTGGGTTTAGGGTTTAGGGTTTAGGGTTTAGGGCGTTTTGGATGTTTTGGTTGCTTTGGGTCCCGAAGTTGTTGGAAGCCCCCAAAGCCAGCAGAAACCCTCTGTCAATGCTGAATCCGGTTTAGGGGCTTAGGGTTTAGGGGTTAGGGAACCCTGTTCAAGTGAGCCAATAAGAGCTCAGCATTGCTCCCGCGGGTTGAGGCCATCCGAGGCGTGCTGCGCAGCAGGCGTGCCCTCGGGTGTACTTCGGGCACAAGGGCTTTGGCGCGTACCGATCGGCGTGAAAGCACCTGTGCGCATCATCTATCAGCACATAAGCCTTCAGGAGGCCCGGCTCGGCACAACTTCATCTTCGCAGAAGGTTTCATCCTGGGGAGACCCATCCTTCCGGTGGCTTCCGATAGAGAGCATCGCGAAGCGCAGCTCCGGTTTAGGGTTTAGGGTTTAGGGTTGCATGCAGCTCTTTCGTCCTGGCCTCCTGCCTCTAAAGCAAGGCAAGGCCAGTTTGAGCCTAGCAGGGTCCAGGGAAATTTGAGGGAGCCCCACTGTCACGTCTGCTGGCGCGCAGAGGTGCTTCCTTAGGGTTTCGATAGGAGGGATTAGACATGAAGGTTATGACAAAGGCTTGATAAGGGGTTTAGTGCAGGGGCCTTAGTGGTTTAGAATAGGGTTTTGGGGCCCATTATACTATACCTATAATAGTATGGGTAATTATTTAGGCGCCTATACTAAGCACTAAAGACTCTGCTCTACTCCCTAGACACCCTCCGTTTTGTTGAGTTCTATGTGGCTTTGCAGGACACTACGGGTTTTGGGGCATTCCTAAACCCTAAACCCTAAACCCCTAAACCCCTAAACCCCTAAACCCTAAACCCCCAAAACCCTAAGGCCCCCCTAAACCCTAAACCAGGTCGGGGCACGTCATCAGGTGCTCTGCGAGGTCTTCGATGGCATCCGGGAACTGCTCGGCATCATCACAAATAGCCTGCTCGAGGCCCACATTAGGGTTTAGGGATTTAGGGGTTTAGGGTTAAGGTTTTAGGGTTTAGGGACCTAAACCCTAAAACCTGAACCCTAAACCCCTAAATCCCTAAATCCCTAAATCCCTAAACCCTAAACCCCTAAATTCCTAGACCCTAAACCCTAATCTCAATCCATAAGATCCATAAGCCTGCAAGCCAAAAAGCACTCCGTCCCAAACGCTAGGCCTAGGCCCCGACCCTGCAATGCCCTGCAAGCCCAAACCAGAAAACCTGCACCTAAAGAGGTCATGGTTTAGGGTCTAGGGGTCTAGGGGTTTAGGGGTTTAGGGGTTTAGGGGTTTCGGGTCTTGGGGGTTTGGGGGTTTAGCGGTTTAGGAGTTTAGGGTTTAGGGTTTAGGATGCCCCTGGCCAGCTGGCTGCGAGGCTACCATCAGGCGTTTTTCTTTCGTGAAATCGATCTTTCCACCGTCAGAGCACAGTTGAATTCCGGATTTGCGTCGTAGAAGCGCTTCAGCTTCAGCTGGACAGACTGAAAGACTGCCTGCAATCTAAGCTGGTTTTCGGGCCAACTGGTGGAGGGTTTAGGGTTTAGGGTTCGGGCTTTGAGTTTGGGGCTTCTAAACGGGTTCATGGAGCCGGTGAGCTGACAAAATCAGATCTGAGGATTGCTGAAGTCAGCGTCTGGCCAACCATAAATGCCCTACAGGTAGGAAGAATTCCAGCACACCTGTCCTCCCTACCTGGCTATCCAGGAAACGTCCACATGCTGCGGACCAAAAGAGGAAGAGAGCTCGCCAAGTGAAGGTTTCTACGTCCACGGCGGGTCCTCGCTCCCATTGCATCAAAACTTGCAGAAGGCTGTACATCAGCGCGATGGGTGCACGGTGTGCGTTAACAGCACTTCGCCATCGTAGTTGATGGACTCAATCAAAATCTCCGACTTGCTGATGGTGAGGTCATAGAAACCATACTGCGCCTCGCCGTACCAGTCCTCAGTCTCCTCAGGATTCGGTGTGGCCTCGGATGTGATGCCGCCACCACCGCCGGTCACGATGCATGTTACGCCCATGTGGTTCTTGGCGTAATCATCCTGGGTTGCGGTTCAATTAAGTTACTGTAATAAGGAAACCCTTATATCCCCCTGATGGTAACTGAAATTAACTTCTTTAACTTTAACTGCAACCCAGTATCCGGGAGCCAGAGCTCCTGATCATGCCGGTGCCCTGTCACAAGCAGGTCCATCCCGAGGCCCTGCAAAGACTTGTAGAAGTCCTGCTCATGTCCGCAGGGGAAGTGCGTGACGACAATCTGCCAGTTCGCCTTACTCTGTCCCATGAGTTGCGTGACCCATGGCTTCTGCTCAGCCCAAAGCGACGCGAACCAGCCCGGGCACGCATCCACGGACTCGGGGCCATCCGCTGCGGCGCAGGAGGCGGAGGGCTTGTTGTTCTTTCGACTGCACATGTTGTGGTTGGGGTCCTCCTCTGGTGGCATGGCATCGATGAAGTTGGAGTCCAAGAAAAAGTAGTCTACGTCGAAGCCGAGATCTGCGTACACGACGGAGGTCTTGTAGTACGGCGCGGGCATGACCCAGCGGTTGCTAGCCCAGGTGTAGGAGATCTGCTGATCCCAGCCGTTGTCGAACTTGAAGCCTCCCCAATCATGGTTGCCCAACACGCTGAACCAGGGCTTGTTGGTCAGGCCGGCCCCTTGATAGACGCCTTCGAAGATTTGATCGAACTGGTGCTTCGTCGGGTACGAGATCTGATCCATCGGACTCCCACATGTCTTCTCAATACCACCCCAGTAGAAGTTGTCACCTACGTTGAGGATATACTGTGGGTCGACGAGCGCAGCACGGGCTTTAAAGGCATTGGCTACCAGAAGCTGGGGCTGATCATCTACGCCTGCCACATAGCCACACTCTGGGGCACATGGAGCCTGGCCGCGGGTGTTAAAGCATTCCACGAACTGCTTATGGTCGCAGAACTGCACAGTGTGCATCTTGTTCCAGCGGCTCCTGGGGAAGACGCTGGGACCGGGCCGGCGTCCCCAATCGTAAGCGACGATGGTCTTGCGGCCCTCTGGCGGGTCTAGCGAGCCATCCATGCCACCCCAGTCGCCAATAGCAAAGATGTGCATCTCTTGGGTGCCGTGGATAACCGTGGTTGGCCAATGCTGACCCTTGTATCCCAAGGCAGTCTTCGGCGGAACGCACCCAACACCCTTGTCATTCCCATCGCAACCAGGGCGAAGGCTGGAATATAGCTGGTTGCCTGCGAAGCAATCGCTGCAAGGCGGATTGCTGCATCCCGTGCCTGGGTTCTTCTCAAGGGATGGTACTTAAGTTACCATAATAGGGATCTATAGTAAATAATAATTATGAATCATAATAGGGATCTATAGTAAATAGTAATTATGAATAGCTTAAACTAAATCCCTTATCAAGCACCCAGGTGCAGGGCGGCAGGCCACAGAAGGAGTCCCCAGGCGGTGAGCAGTAGTAAAGCCGCTGGAAATCCTGCAAGTTGCCCTGCTCGTGGCCTTACTTCCACAACAAGGGTTTAGTCTTTAGGGTTTAGGGTTTAGGGTTTAGGGAGTCCAAGATTGTACTTTCGGAACTATGCTACCTAACTTGTCATAAAGAGCCTCAAACAAACCAAAATCTCGCACTGGAGAACTATCCTAAACCCTACACCATGTGACTGACGCCGGTGATCGTCGGCATGCCTTTGTACCAGCCGCCTGCCGCGCTGTCCCACTTGCCTCCACCGGCTGCCCACTCCACCACTTCCTTGCATCCTGCGTTCCTGGGTTTAGGGTTTAGGGTTTAGGGCTGAGCTCTTTGCAAAGGAAGCTACTTTATCAGTGCCCTTAGAAACATCATAAACATCATCTGCTTAAACATGCTTGCAGTGATATTATAAAAAAACTATAGAAGACTTCCCAAGCTGAACTTCACTCACCCTGCTCGGCACATTTTGGCATCGTAAATTAATCGAGATTCTCCGGTAGATCGAGTCCACCACAGCGTAGGCTTTCGGAGCTCGCAGCCACCTTCTGCTTGCCCAGAAAGTGAGAAGATCGGTTCACCTGCGCCGCTGCAGGCACAGCGAGCCCTAGGAGAATCCACGATGTCAACATGGCTCCGAAATCACCAACTGTGGAGACCAGGTCTTTTGCCTGCGTTTGTCCTTCGAATCGCGTGCGGAGGGGAAAGTCTGACTAGAGGTGAAGCACCAAGGAGAGGGTTCAGGGCTCAGCGCTGATCAACGAAGGGCTTTACAAGACGTTGTAGGAAGGGCTCCACCCAAAAATCTGAAAAGGTTTCTGACAGATCTACCAAGCCCTTCCAAGAAAGACCTGTTGTGCCCAGCTCTTCCCTAAACCCTAAACCCCTATACACCATAAACCCTAAACCCCTACATGGGGCCAGGATTGTGGCATTTAAGGCCCCAGTCCATGAAACCCAAACACTAGGATTATTGACTCAAGGACGCCCCATACGCAGAACCTGCTTGGAGGTATCCAGGGCAGTTATAAGTAGGTCAAAATATGCCCTAGTGTGGCTTATACTTATAGCTGCCCTACATATATACGCACTTACTGTTGATGATAAACATCCTGCCTTACCTTAAGGACCCCTAAACTATGGGAATTATTATGGTGTATATTCCTTATGATGGGTAATCCTTGAAGGAGGTCTAAGGGTTTAGGGTTTAGGGAAATTTAAGGTCTGGGGTTTAGTGTTTAGGGGTTTAGGGTTGAGGTTTTAGTGTTAAGGGTTTATAAGAATTTAAGGTTTAGGGTATATATAAGTCGTACTGCAAGCGCGCCCATATTGAACAACATCCAAAATCTACACTCGCCGACATTGTCAAGGACTCCTATGTACACGAGTATACATCCTTCAAAAACCCTATGCAAATTCTCATAGAAGTCCGGAAACTTGGCATAGACTTGACCTTAATACGCCAAGGAAACAAAAGATTAAACTTTCAAGTTGCTACTAAATTATAAGAACCCAAAAAGTTTAAAGGTAGGGTATTGGGGAACCTAAGCAGAGTAAACCTTATGGGAAGAGCCCATGGAGGCTTCGACGCTTTGAGACCTGGCGAGCGCTTCCGGCCTGGGTCAAGTGGGAGCCGGGCACCCTCTCCTGGCTTCAAAGCAGAGTTCGTATGCGCAAGAACAGCTTACGTACGGCTACCGTAGGGCGCTCGTACTTGGAGGATCTTGGGACATAGTGAGTACTCTTGTAAGTACGTCCATTGGTGTTGTAAGCCCTAAACCCTAAACCCTGAACCCTAAACCAGCATATATAGCCGCAGTGCCCTTGTCTAGTGCCGCCGGCCAAGAGACCTTGTCGAAGGATCGAACTGC